GGAAAGTTTCTGGAAATTCCACCCCCCCAGACCCCCCCTCCGCTTTGCGAACCAATTACAGTCAAAACTGTTTTAGTCTTTTTTTTTATGTTTCGACTTCCATGATTATTTTTTCGTACTTTCATACGTAGGATACCATGGACCAGGTAACATAGCCTACCAAACAAAAGCAATCGTGCCGTTCAAAACTTCTCAGATGTGTTTCCACCACTATTTTTCGTGTTGCCAAGAAAACAGACACCGCAAACTTTCCGGTCTTGTAGTAGCACGGTAGTAAGGTAATGGGAAAAAATATGGTAGAAGTACTGTACTTCGAACTACGAAGTACTTGGTACGAACTCGTACCAAAGCGTGTTGTGTTGGGAGTATTATCTCTTTTTCTAGGTCTTCACACAATTGTTTTCGCTCCCTTCTCTGCGTATCGTACTGTACAGTACCGGTACGCTTGTGGATCCAAACACCGCGACGACAACTGACAGACGCAACCATTGGGAATCCCAGTTAAAGCAAGAGATACTTCCTCAATCATGCCCAGGATCGATGACAGTAGCGACGAAGCAGAATATGAAGAGGAGGAAGTCGAAACCCCAAGCCGGAAACGCCGGGCATCTCGCGGAGTGGTGACTTACAACGAAGACTATGACGATGAGGAGGAGGAAGAAGAGGAGGAGGATGACGACGACGACGACGACGATGATGATGATGATATTCCGCTCGCTGCCTTGAAGAGCAAATCGCCGGCGAAAAAGAAGAAAACCGAAGCCAAAGCCAAAACCACCAAAGCGAAAGCCAAAGCCAAAACACCCGCCAAGAAGAAGAAAGCCACCCCAAAAGCGTCTGCCTCAAAATCCACTGCGTCGGGGAGCAGCACCAAGGACGATTACAGCTACCCATCGTTTGCATTGTACGGGACCGAATCCCTCAAGGGAAAACTCATTCAGAATCTCTTGTGCCGATGGTGGTATGCCATTGCCTGGCCGGATCCGTCGGCCATCCCGAAGGAACCCCCGACGGACTACGATGCAATGGATGGGTTTCCCGGGGTATTCATTTGCACACAGGGGGAAGAAGTGGGGACCATTAAGGACTTTCGAGACAAGGAAAACACTCCGTGTTTCAACAACTTTGCCCGAAAGTCGTCGGAGGAGCTGAAGGAGTTGCTCGTGGAGGCCATCAACGAACAGAAGCGGCAACTCGTTCAGGCAGAGGGCACGGGGACTGCCACCGAAAAGGAATTGGACACCATGCTCAAGTGGGCCAAAAAGGTAAACGCAAAAAAGGCCGATACGGAAGCGGCAAAGATCCTCAAGGCCAACAAATTATCGATTCCCGCTTGATCACGAATAACCATCGCTACTCTGCCGAATCACGACATAAATTGGAATAAAGATCTGAACCGAAACGGCAGAAGTATGATATCGTAAAAACAAGGTCCAAACCATATGGGAAAACGCTAAACGTAGGCATCAACAATTAATGTACGAGAAACACATTAGTCAAAAATCCTCCCGTGTTCGTAAACCGGATTTTATGTTTGACTCCGTAGATAACAATAAACTCCGAGGATGCACCATTCTATTTTGCAACTGCGATTGCTCAAACCATCGATGCAGTATTGCCATCGAGACTATTTCGCAATGTCCAATGCATGAACTTCACAGAATGCTAGCTTCCTCTTCTCGACGAAGGTCGGGTCGCAGCGCATTTCGAGCGCCGAGAAGGGTATACGATGCCGCTTCTGTAGCACCGGTCAGCGGGGCCACCAGCAGGACAGGGATGCCTTTGATCACACTCGTCACGGCGCCGGTCAAACCATTCCGCAGGTACTCGCGATAGGGTACCACGACAACCTTGTAGTTCGCGGCACTAAATCCCCGGGTAAGGCTCGTGGCAGCGTGGAGTCGTGCATCGCCAATCCCCTTTGGAATCGAAAGGGGGCGAGATGGCAACGGATCGGTCACGTCGTTTTGACCCCTGCCTCCTCCCAAAGAATCAGCCATGAGATTTGCTGCAATTCTTGTCAAGCCAGATGTCGTTGCCAGCGTTTGGAAAACTACGGTTTCCGCCAGAGATTTCATTCCTTTCTTCATTGCCTTGTGGATGCTGTCTCCTTCCTTGAATGCTTCGTAAGGAAGCACAACAAGATCTGTTAGTCCTTGTCCAACGTCTGTGAACGGCTCAAAAGGGCGAGCGCTGGTGAGAAATTTGTGGAGCTGGGTAGCACATATTTCTTGAATCCATTTTGACACTACTTCACCGAACACCGATCCCATTCCAACACTATTTTCCACAGTGACTTCATCGAGGGCAATTACCATCCTTTGGATCGGACTCAGATTGACGAGTTCGACAATGCTACCATCCCGAAGAGCTTCCACATCGACCCGGATTGGGGTATAATCCACCTTGACTTTCCAGGGTTTTATCTTGAAAGTTTTAAACAAAGGTGGTGGGACTAGATGAAGTCTCGAAGACCACTTCTCTGGTCCGGCATCCCTCCCATCTACATCCATGCCTTCATTATTGAAAAACGCTTTCATAAACGAGATCGCACGTTGGTCCAGGAGGCACCTCATCGGCATGAGTTGCACGGTAATGTTGGCTTCGTCGCTTGCAAGCTCGTCATCCTTCGTTACTTTGCTACTTGGTGCCCATGTTGCCATACTTAACATCAATGTGCCAAACCGAGTGTCACGGGGGTGTTCATAGTCGTTACTCCATTCACCTATCATTTTGATAGGTCTGGAATGACTAACTGTTTCAGCGATAAATAAGTTCGATACAGTAATTTCCAGCATTGACTGCAACCGGTGACTCGTCGACTTCTTATAAGAATCCATCCTCAAGCCAATCTCGTTCAGTGATACTTGGAAAAAAACATTTGGCCTTCTCTTACTCAATCGCAGGTGTTTTTCACGATTCATTATCGACACTCTGTCTTCTGGGAGAGGTACTTTCTCAAACATGATATCTTCTCCATCTAATAAGTCTCCCATTAACTTTGTCTTCGTTGCAAGAGATGACGACTTACGAAGGCGAGTTTTCTCTATCTCTTTGTCGTTAAGGGCGGATGAAGGTAGTGGTTCGATTACAAAAGCTTTGTCCAGTCTCTTCACAGCTTCCCTCTCTTTAGCGGAACATTTGTCTGGCCAGTCATACCCGTCAAATAATCGTACTTTTATGTTCAACTTTTGAATGGAAAGTCGTGATTTTAAGAAGACATCGTCGTGTCCTACTAAAGCTCGGGCGCCCATATCCCCTTCTGACAGCGGGTCTGCAATAGAGTGAAGTGGAAAGTGGTGATGAATGATCTGAGACAACAAAAGACATCCAGCCGAACAATCCGAGTCCGTGCTGTACCACCCGGATATTTGTTCGTCACCAGGTGGAATCACGAGCCGTGGCAAGTCGTCTTTATCCACCGTCGTCCATTCGTACCCATCAAGCATTAAGGTCCGTAGATCATTATCCGCAATCGTTGGGATTTTGCTCTCCGAAATTGAATGCAACACTTTTGGTTGTTTAAACTCATCATAGGGTTTATCGTCAATTCTTGATGTTTCAGGTTCGGGTATTGAAACACATTGTGCTTTTTTCAAATCTAAGATGTCCTCGTTTGTCAGGGCTGTAAGCTTGGACTGTAATTCTCCGACTGAGTTTGCGAAGCAGGTGAAAGAATCCTTGCAACCTTGAATTGACAATGTGCCCATCGTCAAACTTAAGGCGAGGGGCGAATCTTTTGAAAGATCAGGTTTCAAGGGTCCTATTTGATTTCTCTGCGTAACAATTGCATCCATTGCGTCGAAAGAGAGAACGTTCACGAAATTCAGTTCTCTCAAAATTGCCTCTGGCATTGTTCCGTACAACGACACATTTTTTCCGCCGCATTTTTTTTCTTCTTTTGATATCATCGAATATTGGCAAAGGCGTCTATTTTCATTTTTGTATTGGCTGTCGTTCACATCGTTGGTGATGTCGTACGTGGCATCGCCAATGGAGAGGTTGTAAGCTTGGCTGAGACCCGTGGGTTTCATCATATTGCAAGATAATCGAAGATCACCTATCCTAATAATGCTTCTCGATACGGTACTGAAATAACTTGGCGGCTTGTAATCTATATTGATGTCTGCGCAAGAAACAAAAAGTCGAGTCATTGATGTTTCAACATTCTCAGATAAGCTCTCCTTTGTTTCGAAATTCATCTCTTCACACGCTTCCGATTTTCCCTTGTGGGCGAAGACATTTGAAAGTCGTTTGACCCATTCAGAATCTATATCATATCGATACGTCAAATGATATAAGGTCATATATATTCGCTTTTGTCTGAGTTCATTTCTATTCGCAACACCAGTTGGTGAGAAATTAATCAGGTCAACTAGAACAGAAGGGGTGTCTTGCGAGATTGGTGTAAACAGTTGCGAACGGAACAGGATCGGTGTTACAGATAAGTCCGAGAACTCCTGCACAGCATTTTTTAGAAGTCTAAAACGATCCTTCGCCGGCTTCTCACGACGATCGACTGGAGTATTTGGTAATTTTCTATCTATGGAGTAAAGACAGAGATCTTGACTGAACACTCTGAAGTGTTTCATCTCCGAATCGGACAAAAATGCGTGGGACTTGATGTGATCCATAGCAAGCAGGAAAACAAATGATTTTGCTTCAATCATTTCTTGATTGGACTCAGACAAATCCGGATCGTCGCGAATCGAAATTGATACTTTGTCAATATTTACGGCAACAGATATCTTTTCAGAGAGTTTTTGGGGTGGCGGTGATGGTTTTATTTTCGGTATTGTCGATGAATTCGTAGATAATGATCTCTCCATTCCTTTCAATATGAGAAGAAATGTCTCCACTTCAGTTGTAGTCAAGTCAGTCATCAATTCTGGAATATTGGTCGTAAAAATAATGGTACTCTTTTCTGAATTTGCGAGCATTGTAATTTGAGGGTCTGTCCCTCTCAACTCTTTTCTATAACCTGTATCGACTTCCGTTTCGATGTATCGACCGTTTTCGTCGTCGTCATCGTCATCCTCTTGCCTTGCCTTGAAAGATGATATCGCTGGTATAATCGGAAAGGAATCTCTACCTTGCTTCTCTTGTTCCTTTCTTCCTGAGGGTCTCGTAAAACCAAAAGATATCGGTATACTGGGATTTACTTCCATACGTCCACTTGCAACAAATATGTCTTTTCGAAGCATATGCGTATCATATCCCACTTCATTTTGTGGAGATACAGCAAACAAAGCCATGTGAAGACACGAAAACTTTCCTGAGAGACAGGTATTATTTGGCATGACACCTTTGACTAGCTCTGATTTCAATTCAAAGCCTGTGTTTTCAAAAGCGATTCCGATCGCGTGCTCCCTAGCAATCCTCCCATTAAGTACGTCCCCAGATCGTTCAAAAAGAGGTGATGTTTCAAGTTTCTCTGACAATGGGAATGAAATATTTATGGAGGGGCATTCGCAAGAAAGAGAGATATCCTTGTCGTTTTCTACGCACTCTTCGGATGAATAGGAATGTCGATGCGCTACTGAAGGTTTTGATTCTGTAACTCCACTACGCGCTGCAGCAGCAAAAGCAGAAACGTTCAGCATGGTTCGTTGTCTAAAAGATAGTTCTAAGGGAAGGAGTGCCACTTTGCAAACAATGCTATCGTCCTTCCCGTTCTTTTTCGTGCTTTTCCACTGGACGCTTAAACATGGTGCTTGCGAGACCAAGGCATTCCCCTCTCCGTATGCATCACACTCAGCCCAACACAGTATATTTCCAATCTCAACAGTACATCCAAGACCTGGCAGGCTATTTTCCCCAGTTGAATATCCAAAGTCATTGTCTGAGTGAACGAGATGGGCATCTTCGATTTGAATATGCGTTGCGTCTAAAAGTATTTCGTGCGTTTGGTGCGTAGATGAAAACGAAATACTCAGGTCATTCATAGTAGCAAGAATGTATTCGTCTCCATGTGAAAAATGTTGTCTCTTGTCTTGGGGCAGGAAATTGATCTTAAGAGAGGCACCAAGAAGATTTATTCTAAGTTTTGTATGAATATAATCTGGATCCTCACTGTCTCGATCGATGTCTGTACTTTTTGTTAAGACAGACACTGTGTTGTAAAGGCTTTGATCGTTAGCATCAAAAAATACGTCGAAAGTCATATCGTCGTCCACTTCTTGCATACATTTTCCTTCGTCAAAATATGCATTACTTGGAACTAGTATGCCTCCCTTCATCTTATTTTGTTCTACCATGTGATAAGCTTCGCGATATTGTCTCATGATACCAGTCAATGCCTTCAAATCCTCTCGATCAATATCAGTAACTTCTTCGTGCGAGCTGTAAACAGCGGAGCTATGGTGGACGGTCTGAGCTTCGTCTAGCTCCGTGATGACCTCACTTATATCGTTTAAACCAAGAGCGATGTGCGGGTTGTTCATCATAGAGCTCTGGCGAAAGATCGAGACTTCATCCGACTCCACATTTGCTTCAGTGATGTCCTTAAAACCAAGACTCACTTCTTGAATTCTCGATAAAGAATTAATGTCTAAGGAAAAATTCAATTGATGATTCAGTCTAATTTCGATATCTCTCTGAAGGTGACTATCTTTGTTTTCCCTGCGAGTCTTCTGATGATGAGAAGGTTGACTGTCGATGACACGAAGGAATATCCGCCCGCTTCCTTCGGCCAATCCTATAATCGATTGAGTGGGTATGGTATCCAAAGATGATTGCAACGTAGAACCATCAGTCCCTTTTTGCATTTCGCCTGTTTCCACTTGTATCGTAGAGAACTCTATCGATTTATTCAATACAGTCATCTGATTTGATGGGTTTACATCTAGATCATTGTACGAGAAAGATGAGACTTTGACACCTACCCAGAGCTCCTTAGATTCACTCTTGCGCTGATGAAAAAACTTGACGTGGATATTTGTCAGTTTTAGATTCAATTGTAGGGTGGCAAGTGCGGCTTCAATGTAGGACCCTATAATACTTTTTGATGTGGGCTCTACATCACAGGTCGTGGTGTCTGACGATGCTGTTGGGGTACTACCATATGAATTTTCATAAGTTGACTTCTCGGGCTTTCTTTTCCTAAGATCAATAGTGTCTAAATCCAGATATATTCCATCGATCTTGCTGTCAGCTACGAGAGACACCGCTGGGAAGGATTCAGTGAATGAACCCAATTTCATGGCCCTCCATGCCAAACTAGACTGCTCTTTTGTAGGATTGCTCTGTTCGTGATTCTCTCGTAGTGTGAGGTTGATCTCCAGCCTATCGACACTGCCTTTGCGAACAAACAGTCCAGGAAACTTTCCAGACAAGAGTTCGGTTAAGTAAGCAGCATCGAGTTTGATGTTCGTCAGAACAAATTTTCCCTCTTGAAGTGAAAAATCAATCGAATCGTGCAGTTTTTGTGCTGAGGAGGCATCGAGGAGTGGACCTAGAGCCCGCCGCAATAGAAACGAATAAAGGCTTTGTTTCCAATCAATCATCTTCGGTCCCTCGCGTTACAACAGATCGGTCGCGCACCAGGAAATTCAGAAATTAGGTATTGAGAATGATGTCACCAATTCATACCAAGGAGCATAATTCTTGGTGCCGTCCTTCTCTGTATGTAGTTAATGACGTTGTATGTGATCCTCTAAAGGGTCTGGTTCAGCAGACTGTCGTGGATAGAAGCTCGATGCTGTGTTTTCAAGATACGTAGGTGAATGGAGGAACACCAAATATCCATACCGGTACGTTGTCGACGAGTTGCCGAGAATAGAACAAAATCACTTCGTGTCATCAGAATCTGTCGTTACAACGTTAGTTCGTCTTATTCCTTTATCACGACTGCTTCAACCCAAAAAAGAATTATTCCTTTTTTCTTCGGGACTCATTGCATGTAATCCTGGACCGTGTTCGATTTGAAATTTCTGCGAGGCCCCGCAATTCTTCTCCGTTCCCCAAATAGTACTGTAATGGGAATAAACAAGCTGAGCAGTGAACAGCATGAAGCAGGAGCTAATACTAGTAGTAGTGCTACTAGTAATTGGGTTGCTAACGAAAATAGTTACTACAGTGCAAAAACTTAGTTGGTGTGGGTGCAGAAGGTACTAAAAAGTAACAGCCTGAAAGGAGTTTCGAAGCTTACTAGTAGTACTAGTAGTAGTACTAGTAGTACTAGTACTACTACTACTAGTATCAATGAGAGCACTGCTGTGGCTGCTGTATAGCTGTTATTTCTGAGATAGCAGAAATGGAATTCATTGATTTGATATCTATGTTAAACATTGTTGGCAGAGTTTTTTTGTAAGGAGAAGAGGTGTTCTTACCAACAGACCACTGGAACAAGCACAACATAAATCCAGTTGCTTGTGTAATATGACCAAGTTGAAACCAACACATTTTTCAAAGATCTTGTTCACTTCTTACATTGGTAATTTTGGGAATTGAATTACATATATTCCCTTGTGACTTGTTTGAGTTTGATGGGTAATTTTTTATTCATATTCTTGGGGACTTCAAAATTTAGCTGTTGCTGTAGTAGTATTTTGAGAAGAAGTCAAAGTGATAACTTTTTTTGAGTCTCCTTCTTGTTTGAGGGCCACCTCCCTTCATTCAACTTTCTCAGTATATAGACATCAAATATAAAATCCATCAATGTTGATCATTTCACAATCCTGGTAGCCATTTTTCAATTTGACAGACTTGAATGTACAACAAATGACTGCATGATTTGCTTTTGACTTTTCACCGTCTATGTTGTCATTAATCATGACAGGTCTGTCAACATAAAATTTGAGCAATGGATCTATCCTTTTGGAAGATTTGGTTCCACCTGCTGCAACTACTATGTCAGCATCTGATGCCACAGTTAGTAAGCAATACTTCTGAAAAGTCTGACATGATGTTGTATTTTCTTGTTTTGTGTATCTGCAGTTTTAGGTTTGAGGCCTTAATTACAATGGTGTGATCTGGTAATCTAACATTCATATTTTTTGAGTGTGTGGTTTTGAGAAAATCAGAAAATATGCCATCATTTATTGCACACTTGTGTGCACTGCTGTGTATTGCATGAGCAATATCTTCTGGGAGTTTGTCCAAAGGTTTACAATTCTTGAATTGATGATTTGAACATACTTTTCTTTCAAGCCATTTGTTCTTAAATCATCAAGAACCTCCCCCCAGATAACATCAATTTTAAACCTTTGGTTTGCTTTAAGTTTCATCAAGGGTGAGTCTCCTCCCACTAGTTTGAGTTGGTCAAATGGACCTGCAAAGATAATGGATAGATTGCAATAGAAATTATATGACCAGCAACTTGTTGCCATACGATAAGTTCAGATAATAGTTCAAAGTATCCAACTGTTTGATGCCAGCAAATGATATTATTTCAACAATGAGCATGCATGTCTAATTTTTCCATTTATCATCCTGTACTATAGCATTAGACCTATTACAACTTAGATGGAAAGCTTTATATGTAGTAAGTAATGTTACTAGTAATGACATTCAGTGGACAAGCAAAGTCCTCAGTTTTTTAGGTTAGGAGTCTTTCAGTACAGTATTGCTATCTGCTGCCTTGATAGGACAAGTGTCCCTTGTTCTTGTTGACAAGAAGAGTATCCTCCCCCTGTCTTGAGTTGAATGAATAACTTTTGATTTTTCCAGTAAGCTGCTGATGCTACACTAGAAACATATGAACTGCTCTTTATTGTTGGTGGTTGCCTTGAGATCTTGTATGTGGTACTTGTTGGAACTATTACCAATCTTCCCTTGGAGTCCCTCCTTTTCTTTCATCAGTTAGATGAATGCACAGATTTCAAGTGTCAAAACACAAGCAGCAATAATCCAGCTATGCATTTTCCCTGTCTTTGTCAACTTTATACTATTGGTGCCTGATATTTTCCAAGATTCCACCAGTATGTGATGTGAAGTTGTTAACAACCTCCATATTATTGTTTTCATCAGAATGACAACATCCATATCATCCATTTTTCTCATGCCAGCTGACTTTCCTGGGATTGGAAAAATACTGTTTTATCTTTGACAAAAGCACTGACAACTATTGGATTCTTCCTTACTCCTATTCCCACTGGAACCTTGGCAAACTTTGTTGCAGAGTGGTTTAACACCTGCTGTGTTGCTCCAGAAGAATACTCTGAGAGTCTCCATCTGGCAAAACACTACTATCCTCAGACTAAGATTAGTTGGCATCATCTTTTTATGGACCACATTTCCCAGCATTGGATCTCAGATCTAGATCTTAAGTCAGGTTCCAATTCCCTGTGGTTTTAGGATCAAGCCTCCTTGTTTCAAAACTTATGAATTTAGGTGCCTCCTTGTTTCAACACTCTCTGTGTTCATATATTGCTCTGTTGGAGCAAAGCAGCAATAAAGGTTTCCATGGTCTCACTGATCTCAAAAAGCATTTCTTACACCAAGCATCATTAATAAAGGAGAGAGTCATGCTCTTTTTGGTCTCCACCCCAAACTTGTCCAACTTAAGCCACATTTTTCCCCCCTGACTCTTAAGCTTTGTTTCTATCCAATGTCCACCAATACCTTCTTCTCCTCATACTACTCTAGAGGAGCATTCAAGATGGTGCTACTACTATTTCTTCTACCAATACAAATCTGATTACTCAGTACTTCTTCCCTCTATTGCTGACTACTACCTCTGTCCAGATATAATTGTACACTTTGCAGTACTCAATTTGTCCAGTAATAATTGTTCAGTACTAATTACCTTTACAACACATAGAATCAGTACTGTAGATAAAATGAGCATGCACATGAGGAATAAGATTATTTTTCCACATGAAATAAATAGTCTAATACATGAAACAATTAAATGATGACAATGGTACGGTGCACCTCTTTCAAACAAGAATGACAAATGCAAGAAAGTTCTTGACACTGAAGAGAATTACAGCCTCAAAAATGTGTCACTCTTGGCTTTCTATAGAAACTGGTCCAGTCTTTTAAGTGACAAGTAGAACCCAACTCACGGTATTTTCATATTGATAAGAAAAAATAAGCCTTTTTGAAGGCTTATTCCTTCATTGATACTGGTACAACATTACAATGCATAACACATCTTGAAAGTAATAAATAAGATCAACATAATAAAAAAGAAGCAGTCAAAACAGCCAAATATTGAGCTTAATCCAATGAAAGAGGTGCAAAGTGTACTATTAAATCCGGACGGGTGTAGTAGTACAAACTGTAAGAAACAACCACTGGAGAGCATCACTCAAGATATGTTGTTGGTTTTTAATACATACTCTAAAAAGAGACAACAGTACTTCAAATCATTCCAGCATACCTTAGTAGTACATCTACTCTACCCACTCCTCCTTCTCCAGGAGTCCTATCCCTCACAGCAACTACTAGTATCATAACAAGCAACCTTCTCCCACCAGCACAAAGTGATGGCTCTACTAGCTTCCCTAATGCCTCTGTTAGTTCACAACATTCTTTAATATTTCTTTTTATTTTTTAAAGTAGTAACATTAACACTGTACAATGCTCTTGTGTTTATTGGCTTGTCTTGGGTTTTTGTCCACTTCTGCTTTGATGGTTGTTTAGCTTGTGACAGATCTTATCAAGGATTGGGAATGGGATTCTCTTTCATATGTAACACCAGTTTTATTTTGGAATGACCAATCATGGCAACGAATCCTCATTGGTGTAGTAGTTGCTCCATTTGCTGGTGGCTAAATGTTGTTGTAGAGGCTGTCAATGTTGTTGTTGGCATTGCTATGCACTGTGAACAAGCTCTTCCCCAACTTCATGGAGAGGAAGTGGCAATAGCATTTTTGGATGACTCAAAACTTGTCCATCAAGGTGTCAGCTGGTGCTGTATCATACCTGTCTTAGGCATAACTAGTACAGCCAAAGGTGTCCATATTTGTTGTTGCTGGAAATGGCTGACCACAATAATTATTGAATTTTGGAGTCTTGAGAGGATTAATGCTGTTCTCAGAAATCTCGGAGTGACCAATCATTAATATGACTAATTGATGTTAGTCTTGGGAGTGCAGGGAGCAATTTGGTTCTCTTAAATAGTCTTGGAATGACCAATCACAAATATGATTGATTTTTTTAGTCTGGGGAGCAATTTGGTTCTCTGAAATCCATCATAATGACTGTTTTTTCAAAACCAACACGAAAGTAATTCTGACCACAGAAACAGTTACTGGAGGGACTGTCAACTTTAACACATTTAAAAATCTTCTGTTTTGGGGGATGTAGTTTTGCTCACATTAGGGGAGGGCGATTACAAAATTCATTAACTTTATGTCTGGGATTAATTAACTTATTACTACTCAAGAAGTTATTAACTTTGTATATCTGAGTTAATTAACTTAATTACTCAAGTAATTAACTGGAGTAACTATTTTTGATACATAACTATTAGTTTCAGTTTGTACATGTATTGCTGTTGCTTGGTGGTAGTGTTTTGTACAAGTACTCGTACTGTACAGTTTGTAGTACAGTACAGCTGAATAGCTACTACTACTAGTAGTAGTACAAGGAGAAATGAGATGGGTAATTAACTTAATTACTTGACTTAAATTAACTTAATTACTCAAGTTAAATTAACTAAATTACTCAAGTTAATTACTCCCTTTGTTTCAGTTAATTAACTTTACTCATGTTCCCCCAAATATAGTGGCACTACTAAAACAATGGCTGGTTCCTCCATGATCCTTCATGCCTTCCTCTACCTTTTCACATGCCACTATGAAGTAGTAATATTTCCAAACCAATGGTGGTGGGCATATATTCACACCACAGAAGAGAGAAATTCTACTGTTACAACAAAGTTGATATTTTCTGTACAAGGTATCCATTTGGCTCAGATTCTCCATGATCATAAGAAGATTTGTAGTAGAGTAGCCCATCAGTTGATTGACTTGGCTTTTTTCACCAAAATGGACATATCCTTGTTTGGTGCTTATTTTGTTCTTGACAAAGGTTAGTAGGTAGTAGGTGATATCACCAATACCCTCAAGACCAGCCCCAAAAAGTGGGCTAATTGATCTGAACTGCTGTGACCTTCAAATTAGATTCATACTACCAAGCCAAACCAAGATACACCCACAAATAAAGGTATCACAGAGTCCAAGGGTCTTGCTTGTCCTTAGTAGTAGTACCTGGTGCCCACCACCAGCACTAGCAACTTCAGCTTCTGGCACCCACCCTTTGAAGACATACCATTTGGAATCAATTGACAGCCATTATACCTTAATATTGCAGTCTTCCAGCAAAGAATCATGTAGAAGCAGGTTACCTCTTGGTAGTACTCAGAGAGGACTGCTTATCCTGCTGGTTAGGGTATTCAAATTCATCTTGCTTGAGATCAGATGAAAAAGATAGGTCACAGTCAAGGAACTTTTTAATGGTACCAAAGGAAATATCAGAATAAGTGACACCACAGACAGCTATTTCAAAGAGAACCATTGCTACTAGTATCATTCTCCTCCTGGAAGCAGTGGTGCTATCATATCTGGAGGGACTTGCCCTGCTAGTAGTAGCAAGGAGAGAAGGATCACTACTACATAGTAGTGATTTGATGTTTTTAAATGGAACTGTTTTATCATATAGGCTTGGCCAGCAGATGTACGGTTCCAGCCTTGTATTTGTGGCCATCTTTTTCCTGTAAAATATGTCGAGCATGCCAACTGACATCACAAAATCTTGTCGGAACACACCATTTTTTCTATGGAATTTTTGTCATGATGTCTGTCGGAGTGCTGGAAATAAATTCTTGATGAACATATTTACCTAAAATAACATCCGATGCTGCACCAATACTGATCCTTCATGGTGTTTGATGATGTTGATAGCAGCAAGGCAAGAACTCCTTGTCAGTTGTTGGACACAGAGGAGTCCTCACAACTATGTGCTGAAGCTACCATAATTCCAGTAAAAGCGCTTCTCGTTCCAACAACCGACATCTGCTTCTTACCCCCCCCTCCACTGACACTAATCAGCATCCTCACTCATAAGCAACAGTATACCTCCAGCAACAGTCCTATTCACAGCAGTATTTCAACAGCAACACTAACCAGATATCAATCCAAGCAAACTACAAAGGACAACGCGTCAATGCTATCAACGACGACAACAACAACAATGAATCAATGACTCCCACCACCAGCAGTGACGCTCAGCAGCAACACTATCAGCAGTGATGCTCAGCAATACTGTTAACAGCAACACTCATCAGCAACACTAACCAGCAAGGACACCAATGCATCAACGCTATCAACAATAACAACAACCTATCAATGTATTGACGTGTTATCAACAAATTGACTACACTATCAGCAAATCTATCAGCAACGCTCATCAGCAACACTCATCAGCAACACTCATCAGCACCTCTATCAACAACGCTCATCAGCAACACTTTCAGCAACACTTTCCTCAGCAACACCAATGCCACTTGACAACATAATCAACCGACATTTGTCAAGAACAACAATAACACAACAACCAGCCATCTCCTTTGAGTCCCAAGCATCTGCCTTTGAAGCAGCGTTTGAGATAGAATCTGATGTTGAAACTTTGTTTGAGGATGATGAAAGCTCAAGTGATGAGGAGGAGGTTGTTGATGAAACTGAGCCTAATTATGATTCTGATGCTTCAGGAATGAGTCACAAGGAGGCTGCACAAGCTGAGTTTTTCAATGTTATCAGTCAGAGCCAAACAGATTGGAATTGGGAAAATGCAGTTGAGCCTAATGATACTGAGTTCTTCTATTGGAAAGATGGAACTATTGTTGATAACAGTCTTAACTTCCCAAAGGTCCCAGTGAATAATCAGTAACCCTCAATGACTCCACATATGGCTAGAATCCTGTCTTTATTTGGAGCATGTTGCTGTGCTTATCTGTTGCCGAGGGCCAGTTGGTGATCAGGCCAAACTGTCAGTTTGTCAAGATTGAAAGTGTTACTAAGGTTAAAAAACACTGTGCTTCAATTTTGGGCTATCTTTATACTGTGTACTAATGACTTGCGAGATTAAACAATTCAAGCTGAAAATTTGGTCACAAGCACGTGTGCATAAAACTTAGCACTCACTTAACTCTTGCAATACAAAAATTCAACAGGGCATGTGCATTGTGTACATATTTTGTTTTTTAGTTGAACTAGTCATTACAAACAAAAATAAGGGCCCAAAATGTATGACCAGTGCTTAGATTTGGATGCCCATTCTATGCAATACTGTTCAACACACCTGTTTTAAGAAGCAATACTAGTAGTAGCAGTACTACTAGTAGTAGCAACTACTAGCTAGTATTTTCCCTTCTAGTACTGTTATAAAATAATACTGTAATGATAGAAATTCAATTTTTCACCATTATCCTATTATGTTTATTTTGACAAATGATTCAGAAGGCTTTGAATGAAGTTTTGTCTACTAGTAGCTAAAGAACTACTTGTGATAGGAGTATGGAGTGGAACATCTGCTGATTACCAGTCCCCTTTGGTTGTTCATGTACAAGAATGGACTGCTGGATGCAGGAGGATAAGTAAAACTTTGACAAAGTTCACTACCCAGGATGCAATGCAGACTACTGGATATAATAAGAGCAAAAAGAGGAGAGTAGTGCAACAAAACACCTACTAGAGTTAATCAACCAAAGGCAACAACTGAAAGGAGACTCCTGGTACCAGCAGCAGTATTACTCCTAGTGGTACTACTACTAGTAGTAGTAGAAAAGAGGAGGAGAAGAACATTTTGGGCACAAAAATGAAAAATCCAATGAAGAGGCTGATTACAAATTTTCAGCTCTCTTGGATCTGTTTGTGTGACACAGGCAAGGAAAAAAGCAACCCTTAATCTGACTAGTACCAGTACACCAGCAAAACACACTAGTCGTAGTAGTACTGCTAGTACTTGTCATAAAGGGGAGTACTACTAGTACTGTGACGTAGTAGTAGTACTACTAGTAGTAGCTTGTACTCCCTTCCCTACTTTTAGGCAAATTTACTAGAAGCAAATTACTTCTCAGCCACAGCAGTTGGGAGATTTTCCATTTTTGATGAACTAGAAGTTGTCACTGTTTTCAAGTTGTATGGTTTTACTACTAATGCTCTTGTTCAGTAAAATGAAAAATGGAGCAACACACTGAAGAATGAAGAGAAATGGACTCCATTGTACTACAGAGTTTTACAAAAATGACAGTGAAGGGATTCGAACCCTCGCCAATTAAGACACGTACCTGAAACGTGCGCCTTAGACCACTCGGCCACACTGTCATATGCTGTTGACAACACGTCCGATTCATTATTTTTATACTCTCTTTTGACGACAAAAGTTTTAGTAATCGATCAATCAGTCAGTCAATCAATCAATCAATCAAAACATGGCTGTACAGTAAACCTGGTACGTACCGTGGATCGAAATCATTGTATATTGTCACTTGACATAACATTCCTCCGATCAACAAAGAGCAGACATCCGACAGCATGTACAACGGCAAGCGCTGCCACTCCCACAGAAATAACGGACAAAAAGAAGTTTCAATATGATCTTGAAGAATCTGTTTTCCACAAAGAACGGGAATCAAATGAAGCGCTGGTTGAGGTTTCATCAAGCGATGAACAAGAAAAGATGGTTTGAACCAGACCGGGAGAAAAACGGACCGATAACTCTGTTCGACTTTTCAACGGAATTAGATGCTGTTGACGCTGCGCTGGTAGAACAAAACAGCAACAATAGGTCTGTTTGGAGGACAACCGATGACTCAATCATTGGAGGGTATTCGAGTGCGAAAATGCAACTCGTACGGACTAGTGAGGACTTGAAGCGAATTATAAATGGTCAAGAGTCGATACCGCCGCACTTGTGGGATCAAAATCGAACCACAGATCAAAAGAGTAACGAAATCAAAAACGATTCAATAGATGGCATTCAACACGATAATGGAGAAAGAGGCGATGGACGTGAACATTGTGATACCGAGAACGATTTTCTTCCATTTGTCAGGTGGAAGGGAACGATTGACACGCGGGTAAACAAGGAGAAAAAAGTACACAGGTCGGGTTTCTGTTCCATTCTATCCCCCGAATTTCCAATGGCAGGAGTTGATCTGGATGGGAGATACAATGGCCTCGAAATCATGTGTCGGTCCGACGGACGTCCTTATTCCCTGAACTTAAAGGTAGAATCTTTTATTGAAGACGATTTGTTTCAGTGCTTCATAAACATTCCTCCGACGAACACACCTGGATCCAAAGTTTGCCAAGCAACAGGAGGGAAGTTTGACCAAGTTGTCTTCCTTTTTCAGCATTTTGCTGCTACGGCTGGTGGGAGATTACGAGCGAGGCAAAGGAAGCTTGACAACGCTGTTAAGATTCAATCAATTGGAATCACTCTCATGGATGGTGTCGATGGTGACTTTGAATTTGATTTGTCTCGTATACGGGCAGTCAATTACGACGAAAATGGTGTGATTGGAGAGGCAGACTAGGAGATCACTTTTCAGAATATTTTGCCATAGGATATAGAATAAAATCCCACGTGAAAACGGCGATTCAGAACAATTTGAAACGGAACCACCTATCCGCAGCGCACAATTTAACAACAAATTCACTGAAAGAAACTCTATTTTTAGTTAGCCGTTTTGTGAACCTAACTCGTTGGCAGCTGTAGTCGCGATTGCAACATGAAACTCAAATCAGGGATTTTCAACTGGAACCTTTGAATTTTTTCAGATGAATCTTCGGCACCTCCGGAGACCTCCAGTTTGGCCAATTGAAATAGCTCGGTCGATCCCTTCTTCCCATCACACTCATATGCTGGAGAAGCGGTATCTAACGGCGACTCTTTCCCTACAGGAAGACGAATAGGGAGTACATCTGGTATTTTTCGGATTGAGGATTTTCTTCGCAACAACTTCTCGTCTTGGAACTGATTTCGTGGGGCATGGAGCCCTGTTGACGGGTAGATAAAGCAACCGTAAGGTCCTCCCCCATCTTCGTTGGCAACTAAAGGTGAGCACGAATCTTCTGCCGACGTTGGAGCTCCCGCAAGCAATTGATCCAAATCATTTTCTTCCCGAGAATCTTCAGCCTCTTGTCTAGAGTTTATTGAAGCAAGAAAGGTAGACAATGATCCCTTCCCGATGTATTCATTATCATGAGTTGACTCCCGGTCTTCATCCGAGAAGGCATGCAGCGTTTGCATCTTGGCAAAGATGTTTCTTGCTCTATCACTAATTCTACCAATGGGAGCCATCGGAGTAAGAATTTCTGGTGGAGTATCAAACTTACCAAAATCATTAGATATAGTACTTGCGTCCTTGGATTTCGGTGGGACAGTAGCAAAATCACTGAATGTTTCACCATCTACTGAAGGAGCGTTTGATTCCAAAGGAGGTGCAGCATCAAAGTCTCCAAAATCATCGTCACATTTTTCTCCGTTTCCATTATTTGTCTGTGTTGGGGCTGCACCAAAGTCACCAAAATCATCGTCATCATCACCTTCATTTGCGATAGTAGATGGTTCAACTGTCGCAGCTCCAAAGTTGCCAAAAGCATCATCATTGTCACCAATAATAGCTGCATTTACATGATCTGATGGTTCGATACTCATTGGAGCAGCATCGAAATCTCCAAAATCATCGTCATTGTCATCATTACCACCTTGATTTTCAATGGTAGAAAGTTCAGGTTGCGATGGTGCAGCTCCAAAGTCTCCAAAAGCATCGTT